AAAAAAAAAAAAAAAAAAAAAAAAAAAAAAAAAAAAAAAAGAGCAAATAGCCGGGCGGTGGTGGCGCACGCCTTTAATCCCAGCACTCGGGAGGCGGAGGCAGGCGGATCTCTGTGAGTTCGAGGCCCACCCTGGTCTACAAGAGCTAGATCCAGGACAGGAACCAAAAGCTACGGAGAAACCCTGACTCGAAAAATCAATAAAAAAAAAAAAAAAGAGCAAATAGTATGTGCGCAATATTTGGGTGAAAGGTTATTTTATTAGAGTTTTAAGGAATCATGATATAACTAGAGTAAAATGTAAAATAAAGCCAGCAGTATAAAAGCACTGGTAGAAGAATTAAAAAAAAAAAAAAAAGCATGGCTTGGAGACACTTGGAATCTCAGTCCATGGGAGGCTGAGGTGCGAAGACTGACCAGAGTTCAAGGCCAGCCTGGAGATTCAAAGAGTCTGTCAAAAACAACAGTGAGCATTAAAATAAAAAATAAAACTGGAGACTTATCTGTAATATTTTACAACAGAACGCAAGTGGCCAGCTTGTAGTGCCTTTATCGAGTTCCAATGAGTTCGGATACAATCAAGGATTTCATAGACTTTAAACATCTGACCGAGTCTTTGACAGACTGTGAGGAGAAGCAACTTGCTTACAGTTTTACCATACAAGGGCACTGCGTCCCTGTCCCGGGAACCTGGGCCTTTGTGCATATTTGCTGCAGCTGCCGGTCCAGTTCTGAGCCAAAGTTGTGCTTTGAAAGCTCGGATTCCTGCGTGTTGTGATAATAGGCCAGAGTTTGGAAATGCCTCGGAAAATCTAACGCGCTGGCTGTTTAACGAGGCTTCTGAAGAAACAGTTAACATCTGGATTCCGGCATTCTGTGGCGCTCCAGGAACAACAGAGGGAAGGAGGTTCCTCTCAGCGACAGTTACAAGGTAGCGCTTCCCTCTTCCGTCATGAAAGCACCATGACTGGGGAGAAAAAGGGATTTCTGAGCAGTTCTTGCTGAGTGTGTTTCCTACACATGCTTCTTCAGGCTTTCAGCATCAGATCCGAAAAACAAGCAAACATCCAAGCAAAGTCTTCCTTCCTAAACCTTTCCGGAGATGTTGCCTGAGGGGACCAACCCTGTCATCATTACCTACAGCAAGGGGAGGGGGCTCCCCACCTCTCGGCCATCATAACAAGGAATGGGCTAATGGGAGAGGTGTGTGAACAAATCTATTTCATTCACATTTTTTTTCATGGCATAGGGGATGTCAGAACTGAAGACCCAAAGAACCAGGGCAGGCCTTTTATGTTTAGGTGGAGAGAAGTTAGCTGTGTTGAAATGAGGCTGGGCAGAAGGCTATGATGGTGGATGAGGAGAGACCGAGTAAGGCCTGCCTGTTCAGACTCTTCTTGGCTTCTCTGGGTACCACTCCTTCATGGGAACAGAGAAAGAACCGTCTGTGATGCCAGGCTTTAGGGTAGAATGGAGAGTGATCTTTCCGGGATTGACGGTTTATTCTTGAGAATGGAGGTCTAGTTCCCATCTAGAGAAACAGAAATGCAGTTTTCTCTGACTCCCTTTGGGGCGAAGCAGGCTGAAGGGACAAGAGGAAGGGGAGGCCTCCCAGCACCCTTTAGTTCAAAATGCTCAGCGTGCCAGGTTTTATACATTCACTGCACTGTTTGCAGAACCCAATACGAGCAACGACAATGGATGAATAGCTGCATTTATTAAATCTCACACAGCCACGGCAACATAAATCAAGTGCAAAAAGTGGTTATTTTCACTGAATGTTTATTAACTTTCAACAAACTTTATGCACTAAAATGTACTAAAAAGATAAGGAAGACAGTTGAGAATTTAACATGTGTTAGGCTCTGAGAGTTTAACTTTGAAAACAATCATTGCCCCTCCCTTCTTATGAGTAGCTGACACACTGGCACGCTGGCATAGAGGAACACAGAAACATACATGCATGTGTAGGATATTACAAGGGTGGGGGCGAGCGCATAACTCAGGACAAAGAAAGCACTGTAGATCAGTGCGCAAAAGATGGACTATTCAAACGGTGCTGGGAGAGTTAGCTCTCCATGCGGGAAAAAGAAAGAAATCCGACTCCTTGTTTATACAAGACACAAGAATATAGCTCAAATAAAAGTACGGTCTTAAAAGTGCAAGGTCAAAGGCTGAAGCTGCTGGAGCGCAGTATCAGAAATGCCCTGCGTACTTTAAAACAGAGAGCTTCCATCCACCAGAAAACATCACAAACCTCAAACTTAGGATGACCGCTGCAACGCATGTAACAGGGACGTTTCTAGAACACACCAAAAGCTCCATTGAAGAAGAAGAGCAGCCTCATAGAAAAACAGGCCATCAATAAATTGAGGATTCCAGGAGAGCAGAGACTCAAAGGGTTCTTAGCGTATGGGGAGTACTCAGCCTATAAACACAAACAGCCCGTAAACATAGAAGAAGAGCATATACTGGAAGAAATAAAAGCAAAAGCTACAGGTAGTGGTGGCATACACCTTTAATCCCAGCATTCAGGAGGCAGAGGCAGGTGGATCTCTGTGAGTTCAAGGCCAGCCTGGTCTACAGAGTGAGTTACAGGACAACCAGGGCTACACAGAGAAACCTCATTTGGCAGAGGGGTGGGGGGGGGGGGGGGGGGGGGGGGGGGGGGGGGGGGGGGGGGGGGGGGGGGGGGGGGGGGGGGGGGGGGGGGGGGGGGGGGGGGGGGGGGATAGCCACACTGAGATACCATTCCACATTCACTATGCTGGAAGATACCAAAAATCAAAGAATTTGGGGTCTTGGGAGGAAGTGAAGCCACAGGTACCCTCGGCCTCTGCCTGTAGGAATATCAGTGAGGCAGCCACTTAAGATGTGTTAGTCTAATTTAATGTATCTGAAAATCCTGCAACCCAGCTCTGCTCCTAGAGTCAATCTGAGAGACTCTCCTGCACACATGGCTCTCGTGACATGTCAAGATCTATCGATTGCAGGATCGGTCACATCAGCACAAACCTAGATACAACTCTAATACAAATCAGCAGGAGAGAGAGTGAGAAGGACGCCTCCACACACAGCAGTACAGTGGAAGCCACAGGAGTGCAAAGAAAGAGGCAGACAGCTATGGCTAGCTACAGTAACTAATTACTATTTGGGGCAATGCATAGGCTATCAGCTATAATGAAAAATAAGGAAAGGCTGCCATAAAATCCAGAGGAACAGTTTCAGAAGAATGTGATTTTTAGTGATGGGACACTCCTGGTCCCTTGAGATGACCTGAAGCTCCCCAAAAAGCTGTTTGGGCTGGATGGCTGTGTGGAGCATGTAGCCAGGAGCTGGCTGAGGCCAAGGACAGCCACCTCCTAGCAAGACTGGAAGAGTCTGCCTGACCTAGGAGGAACGGGAGTCAGAGAGAAACCAGGCCAGGCCATGGCCGGGAGCCTGACTCAGAGAAGTTAGTGGGACCAATAGGCTTGCTTTCTAAGAATTTTAGTCCCATCTCTTCCATCACGCCAGTCTCTGGCCCCCTCCCCAGGCTCTGCTGACTATAGAGTCCAGGCATTTTTTTTCCCTGAGAATGTGAACAATGGTTTCTTTGCAGAAATCCACAGTTGGTCCATGAATCCCATCTCACTCTAGGGAAATCAGAAAGCCTTGAAAGCATCCATCTTTATTAGCCTCCCTTTGTGGTTCTTCCCGGAGTCGGTACCATCTTCTTGCACAAAAGAGAGAAACAACCCCCAATTGCCACCTCTATGTCCCAAACGGCGCTGGTTTAATCTATCCACGCTGTAAAAGCCACGCTGCTCCTAAACTGAGAATGGAGGTAACTGATGCAAACTGATTGCAAAATACTCCAATCTGAGATCAAGCAGAAGCTTTGTGAAGGTCGTCGTGAGGGGTGCTTCCAATCTTTTAGTTCTTTACTTATTTATTTGGCAGTATTGAGGACTGAACTTATTCGAGGCCAACACTATACAGCTGAGATGTATCTCCAGCCCTCTAGGATGTCTTGGAAATGTAAGTATCACACACATTAACACAGCACATTCCATTCTCCTAATGGTTACAAATGATTCTTGCTCTGGGGCCAGGCAGGAGGAAATGGTGGCAGATGATAAGCCTTCAAAGAGTTCGAGTAGGGATGGACATAATGACGAAACCTACGGAACCCTTGGGAAACATTCCTGGGAGAGGCCCAGGCTCGGGCTGCATCTCTTTGAACCTCGTTTGTTATGAAGCTGCAGTTGCTGCTGTGGACAGATAAGGTCCAAGACCGAACACGACCGCGTGGGCCTGACACAGGCTTATCTCAGCAGCTGGCCCTCCTCTAGTCAAAGAATTGGCCTGAGGAAAGCATTTTCCCTGACAATTCAGCTCTCCCGGCATTGCAATCAAAAGGAAAAGCATGAAATGTTCATTTTTCTTCTCTCCCATTAAGATAAGACCAAGAAACACCAGTAAAATAAGAGATTTATTAAGTTCTTTAAAATACAAATTCCTTATATATGGTTTTCATTACACATACTTTGACACATCTGGGGTTTATAATACATAAAAACAGAAAGTAGAAAACTATTAATTTGGTCTGGAATAGGGGCAACTTTATAATCTAAAGCTCTGGTGGGTCATAATTTATGGACCAAACACTAAAAGAAGGCCTCAGAATTGATGAGGATTTAATATCTCATTTACATAGCTCAGTTTAGTCTAAGTATCCACATTTGCAAAGGAATCAACAAAATATTTTGTCCTTTAGGCTCTTGTTCGAGCAGTCCAAGCGTGAAGCTACTCTTTGGTCACTGGGATCTTCCCTCTCTGTGCTCTGGAAAGCCACCAAAGGCCTCCTCTCAACCCATGTCCATATGCCTGATCCTCAACCCATGTCCATATGCCTGATCCTCAACCCATGTCCATATGCATGATCCTCAACCCATGTCCAT